TAGTTCTTGATTTATTGTGGGCTCATTATCTTATGCAGGTATGGAGGTCGAGTTTACTTTTCGGAAGCCCATTAGGAAGTCAAGATTCTAGAAAGATACTCTTTCTTATGGCAAGCTAGAACGTACACTTATTTTACATATCACACAGTTCATAGTTCTAATACAGTTAGATATGTGTGTGGATTACTAATATTGTTTTCTCCTCCTACTTTTATGTAGCTATGTATGTAGGGCTTGGGAATACAAAAAGATAATCTACATATAAAATCTCAATTTTTTTTTTTTAATTTCGCATGAATAAAATCGATTGAAACTAATGACAATGTTAGTTTAGCGAAAAAAATAAAATAATGACAATGTTTATTTAGATGAATATAGTTAAATTAGACTGGTTTCTCACTTAAAAATAGCTTTGAAATTATTTACAAGATCACATGGCTAAAACCTATATATATGTTGGCTAATGCCTATAAGGCTATAAATTATAATGGGCAATTCTCATAAATACGACATGTGTGGTCATCCACTAAACTAAATCAGATGGTCCAACTATCCACTAAAAGTCTAAAACCCAAAAAAAGTGAAATTATTCACGAATGCACAATAAGAGCTCTTGGGCGGGTGGTGTAACCACTTAGATCTTTTTGAATTTTGATCCAGTTTCTTTGTGTGTGATAAACTTGGACAAGTCTATGGGATAAATATGGGCCAGTGAACCCCAGTAAAAAAATATATTCCTGAATTTATTTTCTCTGTTAACATGATTGAGTTCTAGTATTGGATTTGGTTCTAATTATTAATCCCATTGTATGGCAAAATGGTTTGGCAATCTCACAGAATTTTACTGATCACGCAGTTACGTGTAATCACGGTGATATTCAATTATTCCGAGATTCATAAATGTAATGACCAAAATAAATAAATAAAATTATCATTTTGAGATTTTTGTGTTAAAATTTATGTTTTTACATCAATTTATAACGCATGCTTCTCTTTATATATTTGTAATTTCGTGATGTTATCATTTGGACACTTAACGATATTTTTTTTTTTGTAAAATGATGTCATATTTGTTTCACAAAGAGTTCAAAAAAAAAAACCTACACTTATAGGTGAATTAAATGCCTTCTAACGGTAAACCCACTTCTTGACCAATAGCGAGAGGTAGAACCAACGGTTAATGATATTGAGTTATTATTGACTAAGGCGTATATTGTTTCTCAAAATCAGTCTCCAACCTTCAACTAACATAACGAAACAACTTGATATTTGGTCAATCACTAATTTCCAGTCGATACTAAATTATTTTTATATTTATCGGCAAGAGTGTCAGTGTGTACACAGATATACGTGACAATCAAAGAGAAACATGAACTCAACATGATGGATGTCCTTACCAATAAATGCGGCAAAGCATATATTCATGCGTAATAAATGTGTTACGTGAATTTAAACATGATATTTCTCAGATCTTGTGTGCATGTGATCATCCGTGGAAAACATAATTAGGGAGTATTAAAATTAACATTTGAAAAAAAGAATCTGAAGATTGGTTTATGATCGAATCCTATTTACGTAGGTAGTGGCTAAAAT